CGCGGCGTTCCAGCGGTTCCTCACAGACAAGAAGAACCACCCGGAGGAGGATCGTGGCACGCCAGCGTGCCAGAGTGCTTTCGCAGTTCTAGACGCTTTGCACAGCTACAACTACAAGGACACCTCACAGCGGCGGGCCGCATGCGGGATGTGCATCGCCCGCCTGATGAAGATGATCGAGCACGGCGGCCCGACCATTGCACAGACGTGGATCACCGAGATGGTCGCGAGCCCCACATTCGACCAGCCTGGCAAGACGCAGAAGTCACGCCTTACTTTCAACCTCAAAGGCCAGATCCTCATGACCACGCAGGTGGCAGACCACGAGAAGCTCATGGCGGCCATCGAGGGCGGAGACGACACGATCAAGCAGGTGAGCCCCACGGAGATGCCCACGACGATCCTCAACATGCCAGGCTACCTGATGGACATCAACCTGCTGCTCGCCGAGCAGATGCGCGCGGCGGGCGGCCGCCACCTAGTCAACAAGGCGCCGCGCGGCAACATGGCCAGGAAGCTCGGCGGCGGCAAGGGCAAGGGCCGCCAGAAGTAGGTAGGACACGCGCTGCAGCAGTCACGTATCATAGTGTACGCCCGCCGCCAGGCCTTGAGAGCGTCTCCGCTCCTGCCAGGGACCCTGGACCTCCTCCCCCTCCTCCTCGCCGCCTGTTTGGACCCGCCTCGCACTCGGCGAGTCAGAACGCTCCCGACCCTGGCGCCGATTCAGGGTTAAAACTGAGGCGGGTGTCCGGCCTCAGTTTTAACCCTCACGAGGCCGACCCCTTCGAAGCCGAAGAGGACGTCGCCCGCGAAATGCACTCACCTTAGGATATATATTAGCGCTGCTTGGTGCTGCGAGCAACAGACCTCCAGATCACTCCCACTTGATGGGCGCCTCACACGTGCGCCCCCCGTGCGGGCGCCAACAGGGGCGCATCCGCCCGTGCCTCCGTTTCATCGGCACGGCAGGCTCCAGAACGATGTGGAGCGAGAGAGGGGCGAGGCAATGGCCACCGCCCCAACCCAGAGCACATATGACCAGGCATGGATCGTTGCTTGAATAGGTTCGAGACGAGACGAGACACATCCTCCTCCTTCTCCGCATCCTCATCATCATCATCATCATCATCATCATCATCATCATCATCATCATCATCATCATCAGCAGCATCATCATCAGCATCAGCATCAGCATCAGCATCATCATCATCATCAACAACAGCAGCATCATCATCGTCAGCATCATCATCATAATCAGCATCACCATCATCATCATCATCAGCAGCAGCAGCATCGCCATCCTCATCGACATCATCATCATCACAATCACCATCATGTTCATAATCATCATCATCATCATCATCATCATCATCATCACCACCACCATGATCGCCATCATCATCGCCATCATCATCGTCATCATCACCATCGTCATCAGCATCATCATCAGCACCAGCAGCATCAGCAGCATCATCAAAATCATCAGCAGCAGCCGCATCATCATCAGCAGCAGCAGCATCAGCATCATCAGCAGCATCAGCAGCATCAGCAGCAGCAGCATCAGCATCAGCATCAGCATCAGCAACACAAGCAGCATCATCATTGGAATCATCATCATCAGCATCATCATCACCAGCATCATTGCTACTTTTACCTTCATCATCATCATCAGCATCAGCATCCTCCTCATCAGCATCACCAGCAGCATCATATACGACAGCATCATCAGCACAATCATCATCAGTGGCAGCATGACAGCATCATCATCATCACCATCACCATCATCTCATCATCATGACCAGCATCAGCATCATCAGCAGCATCATCATCGGCCTCGTCATCAGCGCCATGATCATCATCAGCATCATTACTAGCATAAGCATCATCAGCAGCAGCAGTTGCAGCATCATCATCAGCATCATCAGAATCAGGAGCATCATCAGCATCATTAGAATGAGGAGCACCATCAGAATCAGCAGCAGCAGCAGTTGCAACATCATCATCAGCATCATCAGAACCAGGAGCATCATCAGAATCATCATCAGCATCCTCATTGTCGTAATCAGCATCAACATCATCATAATCAATACCATCATCTTCATCTTCAGCAGCATCAGCATCATCATCAACAACATCACCATCGTCCTGCCTCATCCTTCGCCTCATTCTCCTCCTCGTCGTCCATCCCCCCTCTTCCTGCTCGTCATCATCGGCAGCAGCATCAGCATCAGCATTAGCATCGCCGTAATCATCGTCGTCATCAGCATCAGCATCATCGACAACCACCACCATTATCATCGTCAACATCATTACTATCATCAACCTCATCAGCATCGTCATCAGCATCAGCATCGTCATCAGCATCATCATCATCATCATCATCAACATCATCAGCATCAGCATCATCATCATCAGCAGTATCATCATCATCATTCGCATCCTCATGATCCTCCCCCATCCTCCTTTTTCTCATCCTTTTCCTTCTCATCCTCCTCCTTCTCCTTCTCCTCCTCCTCCTCATCATCCTCCTCCTCTTCCTCCTTCTCTTCCTGAGCTCCTCATCCTCATCCTCGTCCTCGTCCTCATCCTCCTCCTTCTCCTCATCCTCCTCCTTCTCCTCGTCCTCCTCTTCCTCCTCCTCCTCCGTTCGTTCTGAATTGACGGCGAGAGCCTCTGGCCTTGCCAGCCTGCGCGTGCCCCTGGCCACGCAGTTTACGGGAAGCGGGCGGCTGCAAGGGACAGGCGCGCGAGCGACCGTCTAGGCCAAGTCGCGGCGACGACTGCCAGCGCGGCCTTCTGCACCGTGGCCGCCAAGATGGCCCGGCACTCCCTCCAAGAGCTACTGACATCTTTCAAAAGTGCACAGGAGGCCACCCAGCTACGCGTAGGAGTGACCCTGGGCTAGAGTGACCTTTGGTGCGCGGCTTCAGGGGCGCCCGTGGGGGCCCGGCGCAATCGCGCAAGCTGGCGTTGCCGCGACGCATCAACGATCGGCGGTGCGCCACCCGAAAGATTTGTTGTGCCAGCGGGCTACCGCGGAAGTCCGCCGATTTCACTCGAGCACCCCGAATGGCACTTCGAAGGCGCTGCAAAAGCAGACGCTGCCGGGGGCCACCGCGAGGAGGTCTGGCACTGCCGGGCTGCATCGCGATGACGTCTAACCAGGCCCGGCGTCATGGCCAAAACTGGCCCCATCCGAGAGCGAGGAATATGTTTGAATATCTTTGGGTAACTTTTAGTAGTAAAGATCCCACGTGATTCAAAAAAACATATTCAAAAATATTCAAAGATATTCAAATACATCCAAAGATATTCAAGCCAAACGTTTTCGGATTTGGGCTGAAATTCGGGACTGGTCCTGGGCCGGAAAACGCGCCGTCTGGTCGACGGGCTCCCCTCCCGGGTAACCAATGCAAGCTGTAGGGTGCGGCGCGTATGCGTTGCTGTCGATTGCAAGGGGTGGGTTAAACCTGGCGCGCTCAGATGCGAGCGTAATCGCGCGATGCGAGTGCCGACGCGAGGTCGAGCTCATTCCACGAAAAAAGTCACCCGACCCCCTTTGGGCCAGCACCAAAGGTCACTCCGGCGAAGGGTCACTCTTACGTGTAGTCGAGCCACACGAGGCCCCCCTCACGTGCTCACCGCCCAGCGCCGCTGGCGCCGCGGGCTCCTCGCAGTGTTGGGCCCCCCCCACCAGTCACGTCTCGCGCACCCTTCGAGACCGAGCCTGGCCATCTTTTGTTTCAAGGAGGCGAGGAAGGAGGGGGATGAGGAGCATAGGAAGGAGGAGGAGAAGGAGGAGGAGAAATCGGAGGAATCAGAGGAGAAGGAGGGAGGGAGGGCGGGAGGGAGAGAGGGAGGGGGGGACGATTGGCGCCAAACGCCAAGATCAACGAGGGGAGAGTTAGCGGCAGTGGGGGGGGTCTGGCCATCCAATCCTGGAACGACAGAGGAGAAGGAGAGGGGAGTAAGAGGAGGAGAACCAAGAGAAGGAGGAGGAGAAGGAGGGAGAGGAGAGGGAGGATCAGACGAGGCCAGGACCAGGGCAAAATAAGGCTGGGCCAAATCAGAACCCTCTGAGATCCAGCGGTTCGGGAAGATGTATCAGGCGCCGCGACCGTTCCAGAGCGCTCCGGAGCACTCTGAGAGCGTTCATGCGGAAATCGAAAGGTACCGGTACCGCTACTCCCCTCACCTCTCGTGGGGGGTGTTCTGACCAGCACTTCGAGGCGAATATCCAGCATTGACGACGAGGGCCTCCCAGGGGGGGCCCAACAAGTGGGCAACGAGGGAGGGGTGTAAGTGTATGGGTACCTGTCCTCCTCTGAGTTTCGGGGCGCTTGTCGTTCTCCGAGCTCAGGAGCGCCCTGGAACGACGCATCCCGCCCCCGCAGCCCCGCCCGGGAGGAGGACCCCGCGAGCCAGCAGGAGGGTGACACGCAAAGGTTGGGCAGGCGGGCGGGCTCTCCTGCCGCTGCCGCGCCGCGCGCAGGAGCTGCAGCCGCGGGCTCCGCGGCCACCGTGAAACGCTCCGCCGGTCTCGGGTGGCGGCAGCACGGGGCGCGGCCGAACCCGACCCCCTGGCAAGCAGTCCCGGTCCGTGACGTCACCCTCGCCTTTCGAGCTTCCCTCTGGCCGCACGCACACGTCTTGGGGCGAGGTGAGGGGGACGTCACGGAAGGTGATGGCTTGCTAGGGGTCGGCTAGGCCGCCCCTGACAGGAGGAAGGCGCCACCCTCGTCGCCAGCTGGCCAGAGATTGCTGCGACCTGGGCCCCCGAGATCTTGCACCAGAGATGTCCAGCAAATCGCGCTGCCATGGTTAATCCTCATCCTCCTCCTCCTCCTCCTCCTCCTCCTCCTCCTCCTCCTCCTCCTCCTCCTCCTCCTCCTCCTCCTGCTCCTCCTACTCCTCCTCTTCCTGCTCCTCCTGCTCCTCCTGCTCCTCCTGCTCCTCCTGCTCCTCCTGCTCCGCTTCCTCCTCCTACTCCTCATACTGGCCTTCATGACCGTGTCCGCCTTGCGGGCCACGGAGACGTTCGCCTTCGAGCGGCTGAAATCACGCGCCCGGAATCCCAAAACCTCCGCTCTGCCGAAACGTTCCCGTTACCTTGCTGGAATGACAATCAAAATCAACACTCAAAGACTCCACCCTCCACCCATACCCGTTTCCCTTCCCCCCATGTCCCCCGCTCCCTCCCCGAGGAGGGAAGGAGTAGAAGGATAAGTAGGTCATCGTTGAACGACAGATGAAATGTCTCGCGATTCTCGCAGGAAGGGGGGAAAATGAGTGGGAGGGATAAAGCGTCTCGAATGAGTAAGAAGGAGGCGGGAGGAAAGATGAGGAAGGGCATGGGACGAGGAGGACTGAGAGAAGGAAGAGAGGCAGGAGGAGAGAAAAGAGGTTGAAGGAGAACAAAGCATGAAAAAGCGACCGACGAATGATGATGAGCGCTTGGTGTTCCCGCAGCAGAGATACAAGACCCGCCTCGTGTTGCCAATCCCGCCAGCAGAAGGAACAAACTGCGAACTGAAAGTGTGCATCGTATGCTTGACGCTTGCAGGAGAGCGAGGCGGTGCTGTCCGAAGGCACCGCGTGTCCGCCCCCGCCCTCGTGAGCAGGCACCGAAGCAATCCGAGAGGGGTCTGAAGAGGAGCCTCTCCCGAGAGCCGTCATGGTCACGGCGCTTCCAGGGGACATTACGCCGACCGGGAGGGGGGGGGATGAGGAGGAGGAGGAGGAGGAGGAGGAGGAGGAGGAGGAGGAGGAGGACGAGAGGACAAAGAGGAGAGGAGGGCGAGCTTGAGAGAGGAGCGAGGGGGCTCGTGGGCCGGAAAAGTATCCACGCCCACGACCTCGCGGTCTGGGCGCACGTGGAGCGGACGCATGAAGACGGGGTCGCCACGCAACGCATCCATGAGGTCGCATGTCCATGCGATCACACCTCGGTGCTCACACCGCGAGATCACGGATGTGGATATGTTCACCGCTCGAGAAGGGAGGATGGGGGAACACGAAGTGGCAGAAACATGAACTTCTGCAGATCCACGAAGAGTTCTCGGATCGGCGCTGGACTCCCCTTCCTGGCGCGCGGAGCGTGCCAGGGGCGGCGCCAGAGGCGCAGCCAGGGGGCTCAGGCGCCGATCTGGGAAATCCGCGCGAGCCTCCGAAAGTTTATGCTTCAACCCCTGCTCAGAGTTGAGAGACATTTAGGCTCAGAAAATGGACTTCGTTCGAAGCGTTAGCCAAATCTCCAGGTCCAAATATGCGAACACACTAAAGAAGAGAAGAAGCTCCAGGAGAATGCCCTGGGTCCGGTCCAGATTCTTTACTCTCTTGGGCAACATCTGGAGTCCACGAGAGATGTTTCACTTTTTCTTGAGATCTCTGATCGGTGTGTGTGATTCTTGGCTCCCCGGGGGAAGAAGGGAGGAGGCAGGAGAGAGCCCACAATCGAATCGGTGAGTCGGATCGGCGGTCGAAGTGCATCGGATCGGCGCGAATCGGCAGTCGAATCGGCGGGAATCGGCAGTGCAGTAAGCCTCTCTCAAAAAACCGGAGCCCCACTCCGAATCCGCAGTCGAATCGAAGCGGGATCGGAACCCACCGACATCGAGATCGAACATCGAATCGAACCGGAGGAACCGAAACGCGCCCTGGGAGAGGAGGGACGAGGAGGCCCCTCCCCCCTGCAGCGCGGGAGCTGCCCCGGGGGGCGAGAGGCGCGAGCCCCGTCGCCGGGCCTTGGCGCCGCGCTGCTTGGCGAGGGCCACCTCGGGCCACTGCCGCTCGGGGCGCGCGGGAGCCGCGCTCGCAGCCGGGCCCGACGACGGCAGAAACGACGACGGCGACGTCGACGGCGGCGGCGGCGACGACGGCGAGGGCAAGGAGGGCGACGACACCGACGGCGACGGCGAAGGCGGCACCGGCGAGGGGCAGGGCGGGGAGGCGAAGGGTACAGGGGCCTGCCGAAAAGAGGAAGCAAGGGGGGAGGCACAACCCCTGCCCTTGTTCTGTCTCCTCATCCTCCTCCTTCACCTCCTCGTCCTCCCTTCCTTCCTGTCTCGTTCTCTCCCCATCTCCTCTCCTTCTCCTCGTCATCATCCACGTCCCCCTTGTCCCCCTCCTCGTCGTCATGATCGCTCCTGCCCGATGGTGGTAAGCCTCGTCCTCCTCCCCCTCCTCCCGCTCCTCCTCATCCATCCTCCTCACACGTATCATCCTGATCCCGCTCCTCCTCATCCTCCTCTTTCTCCTCCTCCTCGTCAGCCTTGTCCCCCTCATCCTCCTCCTCCTCCTCCTCCTCCTCCTCCTCCTCCTCCTCCTCCTTCTCCTCCTCCTCCTCCTCCTGCTCCTCCTCCTGACCCTCCTCCTCTTGACCCTCCTCCTCTGCATACTTCACCACCTGGCTCCTGTTGCGCATGTCGGCGCGAGTCGCGTTCGCCGCCGTCACGTTGACGAATTCGCGCGTCGAGTTCCCCTTCTGCAGTTTGAAGAGCAGCTGGCCGGGCTCATCGTCGGCCGCCCGCCAGGAGACCTGAACCTCCTTGTTGGGCGCGGCGGCTGGAAACAGAGTGCCTTCCTCCTCCTCCTCCTCCTCCGCCTCCTCCTTCTACTCCTTCTCCTCCTGCTCCTCCAGCTCCTACTCCTCCTCCTCCTCCTCCTCCAACTCCTCGTCCTCCTCCTCCTCATCCTCCTTCTCGTCCTCCTCCTCCTCCTCTTCTTCCTCCTCCTCCTCCTCCTCCTTCTCCTCCCCTCCCTGTCCTCCTCCTCGCCCTCCTCCTCCTCATCATCAACATCATCATCAGCATCGTTGCCATCATCCTCCTCATCCTCCTCATCATCAAAAGCATCATCATCGTCATCGTCAGTATCATCAACCTCATCCTCATCATCATCAGCATCATCATCGTGATCACCATCACGATCACCATCACCATCACCATCAGCATCATCACCATCATCATCATCATCATCATCACCATCATCAGCATCAGCAGCAGCATCATCATCATCATCATCTTCATCATTATCATCATCATCATCATCATCATCATCATCATCATCATCATCATCATCATCATCATCATCATCATCATCATCATCATCATCATCATCATCATCATCATCATCATCATCATCATCCGCCATATCCTCCTCCTCCTCCTTTTCCTCCTCCTCCTCCTTTTCTCTCCGGTCCCACCCGCCCCCTCTCCTCCGCAACTCCCCTCAGTGTCCGAACACCCGAAGTGTCGAAAGGGCTGGCTGGGCGATTCACCTGAGACTTCCTCACAACATTTAATCCTGAATATTCTATGTCCCAGCAGCTACAAGGACGGAAAGCGGGTGGCTTTCGACATGGGGCTCTCGCCGGGCTCTCGCCCTCGCACACGCTCGTCTCAAAAGCTTGCAACCGCGACAAGGGTGGAGGGCGGGTCGAGGGAAAAATAGAGCTCTCGCCTTATCGCTGAACACCGTCGTCTGAACCGTCTGCAGCAGTTCAAGGTGCACATTCCCCTGGCAAGTGTGCAACAGCTGCACGGATGAAGGGGCGCTCCTTTTCTGAAAGGGGCTCTCGCCCGAGACTTCCGAAGGACACGCGCTTACACCAGTGGAGGCCGCCTCGTTTTCACGGGTCGAGGCCGCCTCGCTTTCGAAACGGTGCCTTCGTCTGCGACTTCCCCCAGACAGGTCCCGCCATCGTCACACTGCACAACGGGCACACGGGTGGAAGGCTACACCCTCTCCAAGTGGGGCTCTCGCGCGGGACCTCTTCCAAGCCGACGGTCCGAATTTCGAGCACCTGCAGCAGCTGCGCGGAAGGAGGGCGGCTGGTTTCAGAATGGAGCCCTCGCAGGAGACAGCCTCAAACTGCAGCGAACGGAACTGCAGACGGTCCCCGCGGCTGCACGCACGGAGGGGGAATGGACGGCTCCCTCTCAAGGCGGGGCTCCCTTTGCGGGCCATCTCGCGGGACTGTAGGATCCCGCCTTGTGGCACTCGTTCTCCGTGTTCGCTTGTTTCTTGTGGGCAGAAAACGAAGGCATGTGGGAACACTCCTCCCCATCATCCTCAACCTCCCGATGACGTAATTATAGTCACCGTCCTGATCACCACTGACACCAACGTCATCACCGTCGTATTCCTCATCGCCAACATCAGCAGCATCATCCTCCTCCTCCTCATCATCATCATCATCATCATCATCATCAGCATCGTCTTCATCATCAGCATCAGCATCAGCATCAGCATCAGCATCAGCATCAGCCTCCTCATCATAAACATCAGCATCCGCATCGCCTCCATAATCAGAATCGGAATCAGCATCACCATTGTCATCATCAACATCATCATCCCCATCGTCATCCTCCCGTCTGTCCCTCCAACGCATCCTCCGTCTCGTCTGCATCCGCCCTCCAGCCTTCTCCTGCATTCCCTCATCCTGCAACTACTCCTGTGTGCTCGCCCCTCCTTCGCATGCAAACCCTCTTGTTGACCCAGATCCGCCTTATCAGTTACCTCACATCCTTCTCCCCTTCCTGATCGCCATCAATGTCGTCATCAGCATCGGCATCATCGCCATCGCCATCATCACCATCAAACTCATCCGCATGAGCGGCATCATCAACAGCATCACCATGAGCATCATCACCCCATGGTCGCCAGCATTATCACAACTCTCATCAGCATCAGTATCACCATCGAAATCACCACCATCATCACCAGCATCATCATCATCATCATCGTCGTCGTCGTCAAAATTGCCTACATCATCACCATCATCATCACCATCATTGTCATCGACATCGCAACCATCAGCATCATCAACATCGTCATCATCAGCATCATCAGCATCAGCATCAGCATCAGCATCATCATCACCATCATCACCAGCAGCATACGCGTGCTTGTCTGCATCATCATCGTCGGTATCACCACTACCCTCGTTGCCAGCATCAGTCTGACCCTCGACCTCCTCACAATCATCGTGAGCATCAGCATCGACATCGCCATCATCAGCAGCATCCTCATAATCATCATGTTCATAGTTAACACAAACACCAACACCAACACCATCGCCATCCCCACCATCATCAGTAGCAGCAGCAGTAACAAAATGATCATCCGCAGCATCATCAGCAACATCATCGTCGTCAACAATAACATCAACATCGTCATCATCAGCAACAGCATCCGCAACCTCATAACTAGCATCGTCCTCGTCATGTTCATCCTCATCATCATCATCAGCATCATCGTCATCGGTCGCATCGCCATCGTCCTTCCTCAACGCATAGTGCCATTCCCCCCTCTGCATCATCAGCATCAGCATCAGCATCAGCACAATCACCACCATCAGCATCAGCATCAGCATCACTATGGTGCACATCCCTCGTCGGCATGGCCATCATCGTATTCCCAATTCTCCAATTGATATGTGCAATCGGTCGTTTGACTCAACCCGCTCCGCGCCCTCACACCCTTCCAACCAGGGTCACACGCGAGGCCGACGAGCTCCTCCGTGGGAGAGGTGTGCCGATCGGCATGCTCCCCATCGCCATTCCTTGGCATCACCATCATCAACCTAGTCGCAGTTGTCGCCATGATCGCCGCCCTTAAACTAAACTCCATCCTTATCGTCGGCATCCTCATCTCCCAATGTTGCAAACCATGGTCCTGGGCCTGCTCCTCATCATCACCATCCACGCCATCAATATCAGCATCATCTGCAGCATCATCCACATCAGCATCGTCATCGCCGGCAGCATGAGCAGGATCATCACCAGCATCAACATCATCCTCATCAGCATCATAATCATCGACATCATCAACCTCATCAGTGCCATAATCATCAATATCATCATCATGGTCGTCAGCATCACCATCATCATCATCATCATCATCATCAGCATCAGCATCATCATCATCGTCGTCATCATCATCATTATTATCATGATCAGTCCCATCAGCATCAGCATCGTCATAATGGTCGGCAGCATCATCAACCTCCCCAACACCACCACCATCACCATCACCATCAGCATCATAGTAGGCGTCGTCAGCATCATCTCCATCACTATCACCATTACAATCACCATCATCATCACCAACATCACCAGCAGCAGCATCATCACCGCCGTCATCGTCGTCATCATCATCGTCATCGTCGTCATCATCATCAGTATCACCATCACCATCACCATCGCCATCATCATCATAAGCATCAGCATCAGTATCATCGTAATCGTCATCGTCGTCGTCGTCGCCATCGTCAGCGGCATCGCCATCACCAGCTTCAAAATCATCGTTAACCTTACTGTCATTGTCGTCGTCGTCATCATCCTCCCCGCCACCTTCTGCGGCTCTCCCTTATACCTCCTCCTCCTCCTCCTCCTCCTCGTCCTGGTGTTCGTCAGCTGTACTCTGTCTTAAAGGAGGGGTTCAAGGCTAAGGTCAGTCAGGATGAGGGTAACAGATCGCTGAATTGCTCCTCTAAGGTGCTGGGAAGAGGGCTGGCCGCGTAGCTTGGAGGGCTGACTGGCCCTCTCGTCTCCTCGGCACCGAACCTGGGCGTTGACGACTGTGCTGGCAGGCCAAGAAGAGTTAAAGGCAGGAGTGTCAAACATAAAAAAACAGAAACGACAAAAACGGCTGGTTTTGTCGCGCGGCTGGCCCGGTTGAGGCCTACGGGGGGTGGGGGGGGCGTGTGACCCGCAACGTGTTCGCCTCGGGTGCCCTCGCGTCCGAGCTTGTTGGGTTCGAGGTCCACCGGGTCAGCGATTTCGAACTCTGAAGTGTCGCAGACAGGAGGGATCGGTCCTCCAGCCTTCGGCCAAGGGCCGCTCGCTGACTGCCCTGTTGCCAGCGCGTGGTGAACCTGCTGGTATGCTTGCGTGGCACCAGTGGCTCGCTGGTCTAAGGAAGTTTGGCGGGCTCACCACCGACTGTACGGTCACACCCTCTCCCTGCCTGAGCTGCGCGCTGCATGGCAAGCTGGTTTCGAGGGCGACTCCCCGCAATGGTGAAGCGTCTCGGGCCCTGTGACGGGGCCCTGAGGAAGTCCCTGCAGCGGATTGCTGGACTGTGCCCGAGTTTGGGGTTCTATGGACTGATCAAGGGGGGAGCTGAAACTGACTGAGTAGTCTCCGAAAGTTATCCACAACCTGCTGCGTAAGGCTGTGCTGAGAAGGCTTGAATGGGATACGTATGCCAGGCTCAACATGAGTGGCCGAGCCTGTGTCGATCCTGTGCTCAGTTATATTTAAATCTCCAGGTGCAAGCCTTACCAGAAAGGGTTTCTAAGAGCGTCATTCTGCAACGCGATCTATACTCGAGAGCATGCTGCCAGCTTAGGCTACGTGCTGTCGTCAAAGATGTGTCCGCTGTGTGGACAATGTTCAGACACGCTTAGACATCGACTCTGGGAGTGCCAGTTTCCTGCTGTGATGGAGCTAAGGGATAGTCTAGTCAAGAAGCGCATCCAAGAGTGAGCCACCGAGGCTGACGATAACCTCGCATGCTTCGGTGTCGTCCAGCACCCCGCCGACTCCGTCCCCTCGCCGCTCAAGTCTGGGGGCATCGCGGTGGAGTGGGAGGAAGAGGAGGAGGACACGAATGATGCTTTTGAAGGTGATATGTTTACCGGCATTTGGTGAGCGAACTTAACAGAGCGGGTTGGGCCATTGTTCTGGTGTCTCGGGCTACTGGCAAGGCAATCGTGGGAGTAAAAGGTCCAGTGTCGGCAACGTGCCCGCAGACGCCTCAGGCGGCGGAGTACCATGCCGTGTCTGTTGTTCAGTGGACGACGCGTCCCTCTACCGTTTGTTCCGACTGCCAGGGCTGCGTGGATTCCACCAGGCCCGAACAAGCCTCAGGTAAGCGTATGTATAGTGGGATTGCCCAGTTTCTGCGAAGGTGCAACTGGAAAATGTTGCGGCTCGCCTTGGCATCCAGGCTGCTGCCGACGAGCACGATCGGCTCCCGCGGCAAGGCAACGATTGAGCTGATCGGGCCGCTGAGCAAGCCGTGCCCTTGCATCCCGTACCGGCGGTGTCTGAGCTCGAGGGTCTTGGACGTGCCTGCGCCGCGGCCGGGGCCGTGGGACGCCTGGGGGTGCACTTGCGTGTGCGCTGGCCCCGTCTGACCCTGGGCCCCAGTGCTGCACGTGTCCCTCCTGCTTCCGTGGCTGAGCCACTGGATGAGACCACTGTGCATCGGTGGGGGTTGAGTGGGCAGCTATTGGCCGCGTGCTGCCTGCAGTCGAGGCGAGCGGGGGATGCCTTCGGTGGAGGCCCCCTGGAGTGCGGTGTTCTGCCGTGCTGAAGGTGTCCCCGACCAGACGTCAAGAGCTTGGTCATCGCTATGTGCTGCTCGACTGAACAGACGGCTCCTTAGTATGTATTTGCCACGAGTGTGGTTATATGACGTCGGGGGAGCAGGTGCGTAACCTCGACAAGAAGTGTGAGCCAGGCAAGGTGGCCACACAATGCAACCCATGGGTTAAATTAAAGAAGGGGCGTCATCCGCGGAAGGCGGGGGCCACTGTCGATTTGAACACGTCTTGCCACCTTTGAGGAGTTGTCTCGTCGCTGTGCGTGGCGCACCTCTCTGCCAGGTAGCGTGGCCGTCTCCAGGTCGTCCAAAAGCCCAAGGCGGTAGGGCCTCACTGTCGTCGAGGTCCCGTGGCTCTGAGTTGAGAGCTGGCTCCTGGCGACGGCGCTGCAGGCTCCTGCCAGCTGCGAGTGTGGCTGGTCCTTCAGGGATCGGCCGACCCGCCATGCGGAGCCGTGCTGGCGCCGCGCTGTCCGAGCCGAGGGTCGAAATTTGCGGGGGGTGGCGCTCGTAACTGGCTCTGCGCAATCAGCTGGAGAAGGTGGCCCCCCACAGCGGCTCTCGCCGAGGCGAGGCGGTGCCGTTGTGCTCCCATGTGCGGTCTGCCGCTGATTCTGGCTTTGTTGTAGGCCGTCTGGGCGCTCTCCCAGGCGGGCCCACTCCTGGCGTCGTTGTGCCGCTCCTGCAAGCTGCGAAACTGGCTGGCCCTGGAGGTTGTTCTTTAGGATTGGCCGACCTGCCTTGCGGAGCCGTGCGTACGCCTTTGGCCGCCTGGGCTCTCCCCCAGGCTGGCCCAGTCACAGCTGCCTGTCTGCCAGCAAGCTGCGTCGAGCGCGGCGTGACTGCACTGACCCCCTCATTGGGCTTCGCCCACCCTTTGAGGTGTTTTTGGGCTGCACCCTGGTGGATGCAAAAAAAAACGTCCTCGTCCTCCTCGTCCTCCTCCTCCTCCTCCTCCTCCTCCTCCTCCTCCTCCTCCTCCTCCTCCTCCTCCTCCTCCTCCTCCTCCTCCCCCTCCTCGTCCTTGTCCTCGTCCTTGTCCTCGTCCTTGTCCTCGTCCTCGTCCTCGTCCTCCTCGTCATCCTCGTCCTCCTCCTCCTCCGCCTCCTCCTCCTCCTCCTCTTCATCCTTCTCCTCCTCCTCCTCCGCCTCCGCCTCCTCCTCCTCCCCCTCCTCCTCCGCCTCCTCCAGCCATTCTCCCGGTCCTCCTCATGCTCCTTCCCTTCCCCCATCCCGATCATTGTGTTCGCCCCCATCCCCCTCCTCCTCCTCCTCCTCCTCCTCCTCCTCCTCCTCCTCATCATCATCATCATCATCATCATCATCATCATCATCATCATCATCATCATCATCATCATCATCATCATCATCATCATCATCATCATCATCATCATCATCATCATCATCATCATCATCATCATCATCATCATCATCATCATCATCATCATCATCATCATCATCGCCATCATCATCATCATCATCATCATCATCATCATCATCATCATCATGCACGCATCCTTCTCATCCTCCTCCTCCTCCTTGTCACAACCTCCACGTCAGCTACTCCTCGTTATCAGCATCAGCATCAGCATCAGCATCATCATCATCATCATCATCATCATCCTCATCATCATCATCATCATCGTCATCATCATCATCAGCATCATCAACATCATCATCAGCATCATCATCATTATCATCAGAATCCGCATCATCATCAGCAGCATCATCGCATCATCATCATCAAATCCGCATCACCAGCATCTTCAGCACAATCAGAATCAGCATCATCATCAGCATCAGCAGCATCAGCATCAGCATCAGCATCAGCATCAGCATAATCATATTCATCATCATCATCATGATCAGCAGCAGCATCATCAGTATCATCTGCATCATCAGCAGAATCACCATCATCATCATAATCATCATCAGCATCATCATCGCCATCGTCATCACCCTCAGCATCATCATCATCAGCATCAGCATCAGCATCATCATCAGCATCATCAGCAGCATCGTCATCATCATCGTCGTCATCATCAGCAGCCTCAACAGCATCATCATCACCACCACCACCACCATAATCAGCATCATCATCAGCATCAGCATCCACCAGCATCATCAGCAGCATCATCATCAGCATCATCATCATCCGCCCCCTCCTGATTCCCCCCCTCCTCCCCTCCATTTCCTGCCCACCCCCTCCTCTGTATCATCCTACTCACACTCCAGTTCCTTCATTTCCTGCTCTCTCCCTCCATGTCCTGCCCTCCCCCTCCTCCACTCCAAGTTCTGCCCACTCCCTCACTCTGTCTAAGAGGACATAGCCGCTCGTCCTTGTACAGACGGTCGGCGAAGGCCTTCGAGTTGTTGTGCCAGGGGATGCGGTTCACCTTGATCACCTTGTCACCAGGGAAGATCGCCTGCAGGAGGGGGGGTAGGACAGAGGATCTCAGATGAAGGTGTTTCCCAGCGCCTCATTGGAACTCTGTGGTTTGCACTCCTATGGCTTCCCGACAACTACCCTACGGGTAGTTTATCCCCAGTCCGGACTCCTATGGCTTCCCGCCCCACTGGCCCTGTGGGTCGCTTTGATTCGAGTGGACGCTTTGGCCCCTATGGCTTGGAGCACGATAGCTTCCCAACCCCACTCGCCCTGCGAGTGGGTACCGATAGGGCCTCAATGGCTCGGACCCCAAAGGCGTGGCTGCAAGAACACTCACGCATATACACGCAAAGGGTACACACACACACAGTGTTCAGCATGCACACACACACACACACACACGAGGGTCCAATCACCCAGATGCTTGTCAAAAATGAGCTAAAGTGCAGCAAACACATAGAGTGCGGCCGACCAGAGCCAGCGGCGAAGGCACCACGCGGAGTGGGAGAAAGGGCAGCGGCAGCGGAGCGGCCGGGGCTCAGTAGACGAAGGCGCACGGGGGCGAAGTCAACGCACGGAAAGTGGGGAAGCAGAAGAAGGCGCATGCTTGCGAAAGTGCGCGAGTAGCAGACCGAAGTCTTCGGATGTGGACAGCGCGTTGCGGCGAAGCCACAGACCACAGGGGAACTCGGCACAAGACCAGAGCGTAGCAACCATGAACAGGAAGGGACATGTGGCCCGAGACAGGTATGAGGATAGGACAGACGGCGAACTGGCGAGATATCCACAAAACCAAGCAGCCGAAGTGCTCCGGGAAAAGCTAGGGCGACGAAGCGATGCAAAAGGCAAAAGGCGAGGGCCCAGCGCTAAAAATGCAGTAAACAATTCGAAGACACTGCGTCAGCCAGCGTAAGCGTCACGGGACGGCTGCGAGGAGAATCGCAGTAGCCGCTTTCAAGTGGCTGCACATGCGTCAGACACTCGTCTCGCCACAGCGGAACCATGCGTTCATCGAGAAGGGGCAAGAACAGAATCGGTAAACCAGAGACGGTGGCGGCGAAACGACCAAAGGGGCCGGCTTGCCAAGTGCCTGCGATGGAACGGATTAGAGAGGACGAGCGGCCGCAGGCAAAGCCGAATAGAGCACGTCCAGAAAGGAAAGGCGAGTGGCTCATCGCGACTGCGAAGGATGCGGGGACTGCGGGCGAGGGGTCGGCGCGAGTGGGGACAGGGGGAAGTCGCTTTACGGACCGCGCCGGCGGGGGACGCTTGAACGGCGCGGGGCTGGGCGGCTGAGGAAAGGCGTCCGACGCCAACGACTGTCGTGGCGTAAGGGTGAAGGGCGGGGACGCGAGGCGCGCTGGCGGGTGGAATCTTGCACGGGGTGCGTGTCCGTACCGCTGGCGACTCGGCCTTGCATTGCTGCTCAGCAGGGAGCTGCTCTATATCGAAATGAACCGGGCGTTGGCAGAACTGGGTTTAGTGGGACCTGGTTTAGTGATGCGTACTGGGGGGGGCGCCCCCCGCCCCGTTCCACTAACCGCAACTGCCGTCACCCGAGAAAAAAACACCAGCTACGGCAGACCTGGTTTGGTGATTCTGGCCAACTTAGGGGCTCCCAGGGCCCCACCACTCACCGGGGGGTCCCCTTGCCTGGGGCCCTGGCTATGCCCGAAGGAAGCAGCACGGGGGCGTCCGCGGGCGCCGAGGGGTCCGGCAGCACGCTGCAGCCGGCTGCGTCCCCCGAGGTGGACGGAGCGTCCGTGGCTACCCACCAGACCACCCCAACCCAGCCCGAAGACCCGAATTTCGGGCTGCGGGGGGATACGGGCCTCATATGTTTTTGTTGTTCCATGCTCCCCGGCCCACCCACCCCCTGGACACGGAGGGCAAGTCGGAGCCTTCGGGTTGGGTGGGAGTGGCCTGGTGGGCGGTGAGTCCGAGGGCGCAACCGCCACGCCGCCCATCGAAGAGGCAGAGGGAGGAGGCTGCGAGTCGGGCAATGCGACCCGCACCAGCACAAGTAAAGCAGCGTAGGGGAGTTGATCAAGGCTCTAGGGCGTGAGGTGATTCCAGATCTCGAGTACACGTAAGGCGGCGTAGCGACTCGCAGGATTGAGCTGAAAGTCGGCCGTGGTAATGCTCTCGATCATGCAGTTTAACGCTGAAGCGAAGTTGATGGTCCTGTTGGCACATGGGCAGTAATGATGGGTTCGCGCGGAGGCGTCTCGTCCCCGCGCGAAAGGGCGAGCTGTAGTTCTCGCATCGGCACCGCGCTCACTTCCTCTGACGTGGGCTGCCCCCGTGGGCGCGGCGCACTCTTCCCGACGGCGAGCGAGTCGACGCGCGAGCGGGCGGCAGTGCCGATCTCGCCTGCGGCGCCGCGCAGGCTCCGCCGGAGAGTGGCGCTCCCGCCTCGGCGCGGCGCCAGAGCTCCACCCGCAGAGTCGTTGGGGGGCGGAGCCGTGTGCGAGCGGGCGACCAGTCGCGCTCGCCCAGGCCCCGTGCACACTCCGCCCTGCTTGTGGCGATCACGCGCGGGGACGGCGCATGTTCCGCTCGCCGCATCGCACGAGAGCGGTAGCGGCAGCGGGGCCGCGCGCGCGAGGGCGGGCGAAATGCTGCCCTCGCCAGAGGTCGCCGCGCAGTCTGCGCGTGAGAGTGGCAGTGCTGTGTCGGCGCGGCGCATGCTTCGTCTTTGCCGCCCGCACTCATCGAGAAGTTGGCCGCCCGAGGAGAGCCATGTGTTACGTTGCCCCCATCGCACTCAGCCCAGAAATCGTTTCGTGAGCCCAGAAAAGTATCGAAACAGTGTCGAATGAGTCTCGCCTCCCCGGGCCCGACACTTGAAAAGCCTCAAGTTTCGGTATCTTCTTGGTGCCCGAAATTCTTTCTGGCGTTCAAGGCTAAAGCAAGCCGGAACATCCCAAGCCATGTGGTGCTCTCGCCGCAGCGCCGCGCTCGGAGTCTCTGAGGCTCCGCTCCCGTGCACGGCCCCACCCCCCCTCTCTCTCCCTCTCACCCTCTCACTCTCTCTCTCTCTCTCTCTCGCTCTCTCCTCGCGAAGTCGCCGGAGGTGGGGCCGCGCGCGAGCGTCGTCCGTTCGCCTGGCGGGGACGCGCTCCGGCCGCAAGATCTGCCAGGAACAGGAGGGCGGAGACGCGCGCGGCTGGACGAGCGAGCGGAACTTCGGGATGCGCGTGCGGGAGACCTGCGTGCCCCGCCAATAGGGAGGGCCGAGCGCTGGAAAGGCGGCTGGCCTCACGTGCGTTCAGCTCTCGGCCGGGCAGGCCGCGTCGTGCGTATGCGGCTTCCTGGCAGGTGGCGCAACCATGGATGCTTCTGGTACGGGAGGAAGCGTGGGAGTGGGTGGGGCCCTGCTGGCTCGTTCGGCTTGGCCAGCTTGACACATCCTCGTCGGGCTCCACACACATACACACACACACACATGGGGTGTCACAAACCAATGGCTCTACACCTGCTGCACCACTGAGCTGTTTCGGGTCCACGCGCTGGCATCATCGTACGCTTTTGGCCCGTTCTGGCGCCGCCTGGAGGCCTCCAGGGGCCTCTCCGGACAGCTGAGAGGACTTCTGGGCACCGCTTGCATCCTGACAGCGGCCAGCTTTTCCTGACAATGGGCACCTGGAGACACGTTTCGGATCTTGGGGCTCCAACAAAACACATCCCATGGGGCGAAGTTCATGCAACTGCTGGGGTCGACTGTACAGGAGCCCCACCTACAGCAGCAAGCACATACAATAAGAAATCGGCCTGCCAACAGCAGACCCGCGGATATCCCCAGGCACCCACAGAAGCTCTGGGGCACCGTAAGACTGTGAGCGATCGGCGAAGGATTTGAGCACACATTCGTATCACATGTATCTAGTGCACGACAAAGACCAAGACTTCGGAGATGGTTGTCCAGCTACCCCGATCATGGCCCAGACCATCTTGTGAAGTCAGGATCGGTGGATACGCCCTGCCCTGGCGAGGAAGGCACACACACACACACACACACACACACACACGCACACACTGGTTCCAGACCCAGGATTGGTCTGGCGAGGACAGGCAGGAGTGGTCAGCATCGGATCGAGAAGTCGGATCGGACCGCGACGCGCATCAGTTCTGGCTGCATCGGCGCGGATTTGAAAATCGGATCGAATCGACTGCGCCAGGACGCAAAACAACACCATGCGAGCATCTGGCCGCATCGGATCGTTGGAATGTTGGAATCGAATCAGATCGAGAAGAACGGAACCGATATCGAACTGGATCAATCGCATCGAAACGGAACCTTGACAGGTGCAGGTGGGCAGTTGACGTTCCCAAGCCTGGTCCGGATGAGCGGCGTTCCACTGGGCCACCGCACCCTCGGCGCGGACCTTCCCGATCGAGACGGGGGTTTGGTCGTCCTCGACGACCAGCTGCCAGCCAAGAACCTTCGCGAGCGGGTCGGAGGACTTGGGCACAACCAGGGGCACGAGGAACTCGTTCGCTTCCAACTTCCCTGCGATCGAACCGTTGTCTTTCTTCACTGCCGTCTCTACGCTGGAGGCGGAGGTGTCAAGCATGGCGACCTTACGATGGACCTTGCCCTGACTGATCCCTGCGCTACGAATGGCAGTGTCGAGCATCGAGACCATCCCCTCGTCGGCGGCAAGCTTGACGGGAGGTGCCGGGGTGCCCTTCTTCTCTTCGGGAGCGTCCGAGCTCGCGCTGTCCGCCGCTGCCTCGCCCAGCTTCTCTGGAGCGTCCGAGCCGGAGCTGGCCTCGCCGAGCCCCTGGCGGGCGCCCGCGTCTGCGCGGGCCTCCTCGGCCTCATGCCCGTCGCTGGGAGAGTCCGAGGCCTCCTCGGCGCCCTGCCCCGGCCTCTGCACCCTCACGGACAGGAGCCTGGACGCGTTCAGGCTCCTCTCGCTCCCGTCCCAGGTGGCCGCAACGTGCTTGGCGATGCCTTTTTTCTCGGGGATGGACAGAAACCCCTTTAGTAAAAAATGGCTTAGTGAAAACGACCTCGGGCCCGAACCTGGCGGGCGCAAGCATGGAAAACGACGGCCGCGGTGCTCACTCGAGAACCGAGAACGGACAATGCACAAATCGACGTGTCGGGGTAGGGGTTCTGTCCGCCCCCGACCTTCCAGGAACGCCCTCGAGTTCTTGCGCCAGGGGACCCCGTTGGCGCTGGTGATCCGGTCGCCGGGGCGGATCTCCTGGCTCGGATGGGCTGCGTTCCATCGGGCCACGGAGCCCAAGGGATGGATCGTGCCAATGGTGATGGGGACACTGTCGTCCTCTCGGGGAGGCGCAAAGTCTCGGATACGGGGGACTCGGGCTGGCCCGACGGGGGCCATCATGAAAACGACGAGACCCAATCCGACATTTGACGCGGGCTCCCGCTGCAGACATCCCACGAAAACCAGACCGTCCAAATCCAGGACGCGCTCGTCAGAAAACTGCGGCGGAACCCGAGTTCCGGCTTGCTCGAGCCTTACTGTACGTTGCCCCGATCCTCGGCGCTCACCTTCCATCCCAAGAGCTTTGCGCTGCCCACGCCGCTGGAAGCTTCTGGCAGAGCCAGGGCCGACACGGCGGCCCTCGCGAGGACCAAATCGGCAACGAAGTCGGTCGTCTTCCTGGCCTCCACGGGCGCCTCGGACGCGTTCTCCTCCTGGCCGGTTTCCACCAGGCTCGCGCGCGGCGCGCCGGCCTCCTGCTCGGGCAGCTGGTCCGACGCGCTCTTCTGGGGAGCGTCCGAGCCCTCGCTGGCCGTCGCCGTCTCGTCCCGCTGCTCCGGCGGGGCGTCCGAGCTCGGGCTGCCTGGCTCCGTCTCGCTCTGCCGCACCTCTGCGCCCGCGCGGGCCTGCGCGGGCCTCTCCACCTTGACATAGAGGCGCTTGGGGGCACCAGCGGCGTGGTTCTTGATGGCCGCAAACTGCTTGGCGATGCGGTCCAAGAACACCCTTGAGTTGTTGTGCCAGGGGTGCCCGTTCACCTTGGTGATCTGGTCGCCAAGACGGATATCCTGGCTTGGATTGGCTGCGTTCCACTGAGCCACAGACCCTTTACTCAGGATCTTGCCGACGGTGACGGGAACGTTGTCGTCCTCGACGTTCAGCTTCCATCCCAAGACCTTTGCACTGTTCAGGCCCCCTGTTGACTTCGGCAGAGCCAACGCTGCCACGAAGCTGGGCGTCTTCGTGGTCTCCACCAGTTTCTCGCTCTGCTCTTGACTGGCGGGAGAACTCGAGCGGGTTGCCTTAGCATGTACCACACATACAGAAACACATGCGTCGAACGCAAAGGAAGTGTTGAAACCATGAGTATACGGCCACTCTTCGGGAGATAAGGAAATTGGCGGGGGTGCTACTTGATTTTGAATGGTTTGTTATCGCAAAGTCATTCGACAAACATGAGACAACAACGGGGTAACCACCGTAACAACTACGGGACAACAATCGGAATAACTATCAAGACAGCAACTGGGACAACCACGGGACGACCATCGCAACAACCATCGGGACATCCACGAGACAATCATTTGGACAACCTCCAGGACAACCATCGGGAATTCCACGTGATAACCATTGGGACAAACATCGGGGCAACAATCGGGACAACCATCGGGACAACCATCGGGACAACCATCGGGGACCATCGGGACAACCATCGGGACAACCATCGGGGACCATTGGGACAACCATCGGGACAACCATCCGGACCCCCATCCGGACAACCATTCGGACAACTATCCGGACAACCATCGGGGCAACCATCGGGACAGCCATCGGGACAACGATCGGGACAACCATCGGGACAACTATCAGGACAACAATTGGGACAACCACGGGACGACCATCGCAACAATCATCGGGAATTCCACGGGACAATCATCTGGACAACCCGTGCTGGCTGTTTCTGCGGGGAAGGTATGATGGCAGAGCTGGACGGAAGCGAATACAGAGGGCATGACACGAAAACTCGAGCTCTATGAGCAGCTGCTCAGGCGGACGAGGCGAAGGGGAATGCCCTCAAGCCAAATACTCCCTACGAAAGCAAGACTTACTCCGACAAGCAAGCGTAAACAAAATCTCCACAGGATAACAAAACTGGAAGGCCTCTCGGTCGCGTCATGGCCCCGTCGTGGAAGGACTTCTGGTGCAGCGTGAGACAGGGGTCTGAGGCACATTACTAAGTACAGTCATCGTGCTGCCATGAAAAACTCTGAATCCCCCGACCCCCGCGTGCTGGGGGTGGCGTGTGAAATGATCCGTTGTCCCCCGCCTTTCCATCCGCCACTGCGTTCATGGCAACCTCCACCAGCCTCCCCACGGCCCTGATGCTCGGAGACGCCGCAGCTGCGTTCCGTGCCTTCCCCGCCCCCTCGTCAGGCCACCGTGCGCACATGCCTGCTCCCCCTCCTTGGGGTATGAACTCCCGTCGGGAGGGGGTGAGCCTGGGGGAGGGGGATGAGGGAAAGGGGCTCGGGGGGTGGGGGGGACGAGCTCCTCTGCGCACTCCCGGGGCTTCCAGAGCCCCCAAACGTCGCATTGGTGCCCCTTCGATTGCTCGACGAAAAATTATACCCACGGAGCATCCACAAAAACGGAATCCAGAGGAAATGGGTAGGATCAACGAGACACGAGACTCTTACACACACGCACACACACACATACACACACACACACATTGGGACCAATGGAATCCATGGCTTTCCATGGAAGAGAACAACAAACGTTCGGCCTGGGGATGAAGGAAACTGCGCCCCTTTTGAGGACTGCAAGGCCGAAGCAACTCCAGGGCCCCGCTCTTGAATTGCCTCCTTTTCGCGGGTGTGCGCACATGAGACTATGCAGTATTAAGTTTTCCGTTATACCCAGCCGCCTCTGCTCGCACGCGTCTCCATCGGGTTGAATCAGCAATTTAACGAAAACGCTTCGGTGCGGGGGAAGCGCAGGTCAAAACACCGCAGCCCGCAAGATGTTAATCTTGGAACCCAGATGACGACGACCGACCGACCGACCGACCGACCGACGACGACGACCGACCGAACGACGCTACGACCAACCGGCCGGCCGGGTGCCCGACCGACCGAGGACGACGACGATCGACCGACCATCTGAACGACAGGGAAAGGCCGCCTCCGCATAATCCGAATACTGGTTTGCAGATATGCAGCTGCGTGGAACCCATGTCTTGTGTGTCAACGGCGTTAGTGACCATATACAATTAGATGTGTAACTGTATGTATATATATATGCTCAGGTCTACCGCTGAGATCTGGAAATATGTATGTTATTCAAATGGTGCGAGTGCTAACTCAGAAATGCAGTGCCAGCTCAGCAGCGACACCTAAAAACTCCCCCCTGCATTCAGAAACAAATCGTCATCTTGGTGCCAGTAGGCCCACTGTGCAGCGCGCACGCGCGCATCCATCCTCTTCTAGGATGAGCCTACGGCGGATCGTCGGCCCACAAACTTCCGAATATGCTGCCAAAAACCGATCGATTATCTGGGCCCCACCTTTCGCGTGCGCGGTGGGCCCGTCCATGTTGCGGGCGAAGAGCTGCACGCATTCGGGGCGCAGGAACATTCCGTCTTTTTCCGGCTCGTGGGCGGCGCAATCGTGGATGACGCCGTCCAAGGTGTTCTTTCGGTTCAACCCCAGCTTGCATGAGCGGGCGCCGTCAGCGTGCAAGAGAATCTTGCGCCACTTGAACCATTTTTTCGCCGTGGGGTACCAATCTGATTTCTCGGCGGGCCCAGGGCCAGGAGCCCTCCTGCTTACGAGTTTGGGCTTCGTGCGGAAAAGTATCAAGCTGCTTGGTCTGCCCCGCTCGACTATGCCAGCCCACTGGGGCCACCTGAGCTTGTCTTTGGCGTTAACGGTGACGAACTCCTTGCCCAAGTCGACCTCGCCCGCCTCGACGTCGCGACACTCCTTCTTGAGAACGTCTCCAAATTGGACCCTATTCTCTCGGGCGACGACGTCCTTCGCCAGGCATGCGCCGAGTCGCTTTGATATCTCGCTGGCGAACTTGGCGCTGCCCCCCACAGCAGATGATTCTGCGAGCGCGTCAAGCCCACGATGGGCCCAAATAGGAGCCGCACCTGGCTTCGGAGCGATTTTGAAGCGTTCCCCCAGCCCGTCGTGAAAACGGGGTGCTCGGCATGAAGAAGGATGAATCGTTGGCACCTGTCCTTCTTGCACCTACGTGCCCAGGCACCGCCGGCGCGCTGCTGACGCGGGCCGACCCGCTCCTCGCCGCAACGCGGACAATGACATTGAGCCCAAATCTTCAGGAAACCATCCCCGGTGATGCGCGACATCAGGGCCTTCTCACTGGCCGCCACGATATCGGTCACATTCCAAGCCCAGGTGGCCGGATCTCTGCGAGATCGCGCAGTTATGCCTGGCGAGACTACAAGATAATGCATGCGGGGGAAAAACTGCCAACCCGACCCCTGCTTCCGCCCCCGACCTCTACGTCCTCGCCAGGCGCTTGAAGGTCTGCAGCCGAGCCGCCGTTCAAAGAAGACGTTTGTTCGTCTGCTTGACTCAACATGAATTGCGCGAACCCGACGGAATCATATCCCCGGTCGCCGAAGAGGCGGCAGGCGCCCGAGTCTGGCGGCGCAGGAGAAGACGAAGACGCCGCAGCGCCTGGCGGCGATGAGCGGAGACATCCCCGGCAGACACGATGGGGCTCACGTGGGAGCAAGTCTGCGCTCAGACGGCCGCAGACGCCGCAGCTCGAATCGCCGAGAGCGTCGCCCGTCGAGCGGCGGAACTCCCGCGTGATCAGAATGCGGAGGTACCAAGCCTCGCCGCCAAAATCTTCCCCCAGGAACTGCCCCATGGAGGCGAGCATGGCGGGCGCGGACCGATCAAGGCCCATTGCATCACGCAGATTGAAAGCATATGCGAACAATGCCTCCTGCGCATCTAAGAACGACTCCGCGCCGATGCGCCCCGCCGAGTGCTCTGGCCGCACTGCGATCTGAAACGGTCCAGGAAGGGGTCGCGGATCGCCCCCGCAGTATGCGAAAGAGAATGGCGCGCTGCGCATACTCTCCATGCGGCGTCGCCGATCACGCAATACCCAGGCAAGCCCCACGGCGCCGAGAGCACGCAGCTCTTGAAAACAACGCGAATGCCCTCCTCGGGCGAACTGTTCGTTCGGAATCCCCGCGGGCGCCCCCGTCCTGCCCGCCGAATTCCACGGTCTGTCTGGCACGTCTGGCAAGGAGTTACTGTGGCGGAGTAGCTCTGGCCGAGGATGCTGTTTCATCAAGTTCTTCAACAGAGACGCGGGGCGGTTGTAGCGGCGCTCCACTTCCGTAACCAATCCGAGGAACTCGCTCTCGGAGCTGATGGTTCCGTCTCGGAGTTGGATGTACGTGAGCTGCTGCTCTCGTTCGAACGCGCTCAGCTGCGCGGCGCCGCCAAGGGAGTCCCTCTCGCCGCTCTGCGGGTGGAACTGTTGCACCGTGAAGGTCGCTCTTCGACGAGCCGAGCACGCCGATGAAACCGTCTCGATGTCCGAAAAGGCTGTCGGCGGCGCTGCGACAATCATCCCGTCGAACATGTAAGTGTTCATACTGATCCCGCCTATTGTCTTGAGAGTCGTCTCGACTTCGTCCACGATTGAATCTTCAATACTGGACAGTGCATAGTGCAGTCTTGTAGCCGTCGGGTTTGGCCTCTCATCGAACATATTCTGCAAATATGAAAACTGAGGCAGACTTAGGAAACGTTTCACGGCCTCCTCAATCTCTGAGAAAGATGTCATAGGAAAGGCAGATCGTTGCGAGGAACAGCTAGGTGCACGAGGCGGATGAGAGCGCGCGTTGCGTCCTTCATGCTGACACCAAGATAATCGCACAGATATGCTCTCCACGATTTGCGGCTGTTCTTGAAAGACATGAAAGTTAGGTAGCCCCCGATGTCCAACGACGCATCCTCCAAACTGTTGCACAAGAGCACCACGAAGCAGTTCTCGATGTCGATGTCGAAGAAGACGTTGCCGGACATGGCGGAGTTTCCTTCCTCTGCTTCCATGGCGTATGCCCTGGCCTCTTTCGACAATGAGAACTGCACGGAAATGCCCATCGGGTAGCGCCGACCAGGGATGTTGTGCTTCCTGTAACAATGTACTCTGCAGCAAACAAAGTCTCCCATACGAACGCCTCGTTGCTTGCTGCCCAAAACTGGTTCGCGGCCGTACAAAAGGCTTCCTTTTGTGGCAGCCTTTATAA